GGGGGGGGGCGAGGGGACGGGAAGGGAAGGCGAGACGTGGGCGCGCCGACACATGCACATGCGGGGAGCGGCGCCTTGTTGCGTGCGTCGATGTCGACGCCAACGTCTTCGAGCAGCCACCGCGCGACGTGCCCGTGCCTGAGGACATGTCTCGGACATGTCATGGACGTGTCCGAGGACACGACCCAAGCCCGCCACATGCCCGTCACCCGTAGCTCGCGCTCCACATCAGCGCCGTCGAGCCTAGACACTTCCTAGACACTTCCGAGACACTTCCTAGACACCGCGCTCCGCATCAGGGCCGTCGAGCCGTGCTTGTCGACCGCATGCAGCGCGGACCAGCCGCCGGTGGCGTGGAGAGCTCGCGCCGCGTCGAGGTCGCCCGTCGCACACGCGCTCAGCCCGCCGCCGTCTGTGAGCTGAGAGCCTACGGGCGTGTCTCGGACATGTCATGGACGTGTCCTGGATGTGACGTGCAGGCGGTCCCTGTCACTGAGAGCCGGGCGCACGCCCGTCGCGCTCGAGGATCTGCGGCGAGGGGGAAGCAGCGGTGAGCGTGCGAGGGGAAGGGAGACTCCAACACAAGCACACAAACCAAGATGGGAGAAAGACGGAGGCAGACAGAGAGGAGAGAGAGAGTCAAAGAGAGAGACTAGGCCTGCAGTGTGGAGCGAGGCGCGCGATCGGCGCCAGCGTGGTAGCGGCCGACACGGATGGGCGCCACGCCGCCCTCCTCCTCCACGACCTGCACTGCGAGCGTGCTCTCCTCGCAGCCGCTCGTTTCGCCGCCGCAGACAGAGCCCGAGCGTCGTCCGCTGCGCACCATCTCGCACCATGCAGGTCGAAGCAGCCGCTCCGCCGCCGTCGCCGCCTGCGCCGCGTCGTGGCCGCCACCGCCTCCGAGCGCAGCCTCGACCGACTTGGCCAGGCATCGCAGCTGCTTCAGCGGCCGATCATCCGACGACTCGGTCGGGGCTAGGTGGAGGTGGATGCTGTCGCTATCCCACCACCACGCCCAAACGTGCAACACGTGCCGCCTGTTGACGAATAGGACGAGTCCGCCGTCCAGCTCGCTGCTGGATGCCAGCGTCGCGACCTCTGATCGGGCGGCTGCTGCCTCCATCAAGGCGCGGCGCACTTTCTTTTTTTAATTTTTAGAGCCACCACAAACACACACCGCCACGCCGTGCTGCGACCCGAGAATTTTCTTCTGCGCGATGTCCACCCCGCCGCGCCGCCGCTCGCGCCGCCTCGCCTCCGCCTCCTCCGCCGCGCCCTCCCCAGACACGCCGCCGCCCACCCGCCTCCTCGACCTCCCCACGGAGCTCCTCCTACGCGCCCTCTCTCGCTGCGACCCCGCCGACATCGCTCGCGTCGCGGCCGTCTCGCTGCTCTTCCACGCCTCGCTTGCGCTGGAGGCCATCCGCTTGTGGGCGCAAGAGCGCGGCTTCGAGCTGCCGGCGCTGCCGGAGGGCGAGGGCTGCCCTGTGCGGTGGCTGTGCTATTCGGCGCTGCTGCGCGAGTCCAACCCGCCGGCGAGGGTGGCGTCAGGCAATCGGCACAGCCTCTTCATCGACGGCGAGGGGCGGCTCTCGTCGTGCGGCAGCGAGGGGGGGCCAGGCCTGCTCGGCCACGGCGAGGGCGTGGCGCGGCTCAACACGCCGACCCGCCTCCCGTCGACGCTGGGCGGCGAGCGCGCCGTGAGGGTGGCGGCTGGAGATTACCACAGCCTCGCCCTCGCCGCCGGCGGCGGCGTCTGGAGCTGGGGCTGGGGAGCCTACGGCCGGTTGGGCCACAGCGACGGGCAGCACCAGTGGCAGCCGAAGAAGATCGAGGCGCTGGCTGGCCAGCGCGTCGTCGCTGTGTCGGCTGGATCGTACCACAGCCTCGCCGTCACCGCCGACGGCGCTGTCTGGAGCTGGGGCGAAGGAGATGATGGCAAGCTGGGCCACGGCGACGAGCAGCACCAGTCGCTGCCAAAGAAGGTCGAGGCCTTGGCTGGCCGGTGCGTCATCGCTGTGTCGGCTGCAGACATCCACTGCATCGCCCTCACCGCCGACGGCGCCGTCTGGAGCTGGGGCCGTGGACTCTGCCTGTTGGGCCACGGCGACCAGCACATCCAGCTGCTGCCGAAGAAGGTCGAGGCGTTTGCTGGCCTGCGCGTCATCGCTGTCTCGGCTAATAGCATCCACAGCCTCGCCCTCACCGCCGACGGCGCTGTCTGGAGCTGGGGCAGTGGAAGCTATGGCAAGCTGGGCCACGGCGATCAGCACAACCAGCTGCTGCCCAAGAAGATCGAGGCCTTGGCTGGCCGGCGCGTCGTCGCTGTGTCTGCTGGACAGCACCGCAGTCTCGCCCTCACCGCCGACGGCGCCGTCTGGAGCTGGGGCTGGGGAGGCTTTGGCAAGCTGGGCCACGGCGACGAGCAGGACCAGCTGCTGCCCAAGAAGGTCGAGGCCTTGGCTGACCAGCGCGTCGTCGCTGTGTCGGCGGGAACCGACCACAGCCTCGCCATCACCGACGACGGCCCCGTCTTCACATGGGGCAAGGGCGAACACGGCTGCCTAGGCCACGGAGAGGACCTGTCGAACCAGCTGCTGCCCAAGAAGATCGAGGTGTGGGCGCCGGGGCAGTGATGAAATTGAAAAGGCGAGAGGGTGCAAGGCTCTGTGTTTCCGCGTCGCCCACGTGCCTATCCACCACCTGCGACGTAGGAGAGTAGAGAGAGACGACCCCGGGACGGAAGAGATTTATGATCGGCCATGCGATCTTTGTGCAGAACCACATGTGTGCGAACGTGCGTGCGGGGGGGCGGGGGGGGCGCCTCCGCCTCGCGCGCCTGCGGCCTGGCCCGCCTTTTCTTCCAGATACGCAGTCCCCACAAAAACTCACGTCGCTCGTCAGCACACCGGTCTTCCCTCTAGCCTCTTCCGCCGGTCACCGCACACCAGGTCAATCGACAAGCCAGCTGCAGGCGGTCGCGCGAGGCCGGCAGGGGCGGGCCAAGGCCGTTGCTGCTGCCGCGAAGGTGGAAGTAGCGGCGGGGGTGGGGCGAGGGTGGCTGCAGAGGAGGCGGCGGCGAGGGCTCAGAGGTCGGCGGGGGTTGGCGTCAGCGGCGTGGCTGCAGGCGGTGGCGCGGGGTCGGCGCGCTCGTGCAGAATTCCGGAAAGCACGCCTCGAGCACCTCGCGCATCCGCTCCAGCGGAGCCACGCGGTAGTACGTCGAGGTAGTCCGGTCAGCATTCTGCACGATCTCAGGCGGCTCGAGGCAACCGCGCCGGTGGAGCTCCTTGCGGATTGTGCCCAGGTCGGGCTGGTAGGAGCTCGCCGCCTCGATGAGCGCGTAGAGCTCGGGCTCGGTGTACATGTGCCCCTCGGCCAGCTCCGAGGCGAGCCACCACGCTGCCTGCGCCTGCACTGCGTCCTTGCCCGGCCACGCCCGGAGCAGGAGTCGTGTGCTACCCGCCGTGTGTCCCAGGAACGTCTTGAGCTTGCCTTTGCTCTCGAGGCTCGCGCGCGCCAGCGAGAGCGTGAGCGACGCGCAGCGGTGGGCCTCAGCCTCGGCCCAGCACAAGCTGCGCGGCAGCGCTAGCAGGGCGGCGAGCAGCTCGCCGGTGCACAAGTGGCGGCGTGGCGCGTTGCGCACCAGCAAAAGCCGCGCCTCGGGTAGGCCCTCGGCGCCGCCTTGCGCGCCGAGCTCCGTCCACTCGCTGCTGCCTCCAGCACAGCCGAGCACCCTGAAGCTGGGCACGGTGCGAGGAAACGGCGCGAAGCCCGCTCCGGCGGGCACCTCGTGGGGCTCGAGCGTGAGCGACGCGACGGAAAGTCCTGCCTCGGCCGCCGCCTCCGCCACCGGCTCGCCGTCCGCCTCGAAGAGCGACCAGTCCTCCACCGCCTCTCCGCCCGCCCACAGCGGCGTCGAGGCGGCCACGCACTCCACAGCGCGAACGCGCACCTCGTTAAGGACGGTGGGCCCTAGAGTCGCCAGCTCGAAAGCTGCCGCTGGCTCCTCCTCAGCCGGTAGGCCCAGGCCGGTGCAGGGCACCGGCGCGGCCTCTGCGTAACCCTCACGGCTGAAGCACGTGACGCGCGTCTCCTCCAGCGCGGCGCGCAGGTGGCGCTGCTGACTCGAGCCGACGAGAACGCGATACCGACTGGCTCGGAGCGGGGGTTGATGATCATCCTCGGCCCAAAAGCTCAGCAGCAGTCTCATAAACTCAGGGTCGCGGTCCGGCAGCAAGAGTGGCGCGTTGCCGCTCACATCTCGCACCAACGTGCCAAGCAAGGAGTCGGCCGGGACTATGCTCGCGCGGGCACTCATGGCAGTCGAGCCTGAACCGACGAGAAAGTGAACCACGTCCTCAGAGGTTGTGTCAAAGGGCGCGGCATCGGGGCAGGCACTGGAGCAGTCCATGTCCTGTCGAGGACAGGCCCAGGACAGCCACGCGTAGGCCAGAGACTTGTCGAGGACGGACGGTTACGTCGCACAGACCCGTTTTTTCAGTTTGACACAGACATGCAAGGGCGTGCGGCGGCACACCGCCAGAAGGGCGTGGGCGAGATCCCACCACTTTCGTCGGCCCCCTGGCCGCCAATCACGAGGGTGGACAGGGCGACTACGGCCTCGCTTCCCCTACTTCCAGTGAGCAGTGTGTGCATCTCGAATCATCGAAATGAGGTTTGGCTCATCCAACAGCGAGAACAGGCATCCAACACATTCAATGCGGCTCATCCAACACATTCAAAAACAAAATGAAAATTTTCAAAAGCCGGACCGCATAGATTCGGAAACATCAAACAACGAAAACATCAACACAGCAGACTCTGTCGCAGAGCGGGGAGATCAGCTCCCGCGCCGGTACCGCCGTGGTCTACACGCCGGGCCGGTCGCGGTCGACGCTGGCTCCGGCCCGCCTCCGCCGCGTGGGCCGCCGTCGCGGATCAGGGCCTCGACGCTCTTGCACTTGGATACGAGGTGCTTGAGCTTGTTCGACTTGACCACGATGACGGATGGACGCATCGTCGCCTACCCGGTGCAGCCCGAGGACCGTTTCGGCCAGTGACGGTCGTGAGGCTATAGCTGTGGTGTGCTCGTGGACAACACGCGATGCCTTTCCCGTCTCTGTGCCGAGGGTTTGGGCGACTATGACTGTGTTGCGCCGCCTCGTACGCGTCGATGAGAGGGCAGAGCGTCTCGAGCTCGCGGCTGCCGTTCAGGTCGACAAAGATCGCGTCGAAGCGGGCGAGCTTGGCGAGGTCTCCGGCTCGCCTCGCGTCCATCGAGTGCCACTCGAGCGACGGGAACCGCCGGCGCGCCTCGTCGATGAGCGGCGCGGAGAGGTCCACCCGACGGCGCGAGCGGCTGTCTGCGAGAGCAGGCTGGTGGTCACGCCGTTTCCACAGCCCACCTCCAGCACCGTGTCCGTCTCGCGCACGCAGTGCGCTATCGCATTGCGGTACTCGCCCCAGTTCTCGGCGACGACGATCTTTGCGCACCGCGCGATGAGCCGGATGTTGCGCCTGTGCCGAGCGCTCGCATAGTGTCTCTCGCGTGCATTGTCAGAGAAGCCGTGCAGGCTGGCCCCGCAAGCGCACTGCGTTGTCGGCGCACTCCTCGGCCGCTGCCGGCCTCCGCGCTTGCCGAGGATGTAGCCGACGGCGACCGCCGCCACGAGCGCAGCAGGCGCGACGGCAGCAGGGAGGGCTGTGCCGTGCATCGAGAGCCGTTGTGCGGCGAACGCGGCGAGCGAGGAGGCGAGAGCGAGGAGGCGAGAGCGGCCGCCGCCAAAAAAAAAGAACTCGAAAATCCTCGGCGCCAGTATCACCGCATCTAGCTTGGGATGTCTGTTTTATTTATTTATTTATTACCGCATCTCGCCCCAGCACCATCCCTCGCAGCAGTCCCACACTTGGCAGCCCAGCTCTTGCACCTCCCCCGCAGCCACCGCCGCCCGCCACGCGTTCGTCGGCCCCTCGCACCACTCGGGCATGCAGCGCACCTAGGTAGGTGGCAGCTCCGGTCAGGCTTGCCGGCTGCAGTGTCCAACGGAGGGCGCACAAACGCTCGGACGTTGTCCATCGTCACGAGCGCAGGTCGGCCCCGCGCTAGCTGTCGCGTGCTCGTCAAGTCACGCCGCGCGGTCGACTCATCGTGCCCACCGTCGATGGAGCTAACGTCGCATCGGAGTGAGACCTCGCCGACGGCGAGGGGCAGGGTCGATTCCGAAGGCCCGGCTGTGACTGCAACCGTCACCGAGGCGTCAGTGGCACTCCAACAGTGTAGCCTAGGCGATGGCTTTGCGGGCGGAACTCTCTCCTCGCCTGCAAAGCGTGCTCCAAAGGCTGCAGAGAGGAATCGGATGGCCGCTCGCGTGAGGTCGTATCGCACAATATCAAAGGAGTGGAAGCGCGCGTGAGGGTGGGTGCACAGCCAGGCCACCGCGCTGACCCCTGAGTTGAGTCCAACCTAATCAGTGCCAATCTCGTCGCAGCGCGCGCTGACGTCGTCGGTCGCGCGTTCGTGCTGCTCCCTGCTGCACTATGTGTGTGTGACAGCGAAGCCGTGGGAGAGTCGTTGTTATGTGTGAAGATGCCACTCTGACCTCACAGATCGTCGCGTTGTCGCGCCCAGCGGCGGCGGCAGTCACTGCGAGCCACTGCCCGAGGGCGATGGCAGAGCTGCTGCCCTCCGGCCCCGATCGCGACGGCGTCCCCGAAAATCTCGTGCTAGCGGTCTCCCAAATTCTGCTGCCGGCCGCCTCTCGGCTGAGGTTCCGTCTCAGCGCGGCCCAGACCTGACCAACCGACGGGCTGCCAACACCGACGAAACCGCTCTGCTGCAAGCCGCGGCACGGCCTGTTTGGCAGGCCCCGGTAAAGGCGAAGCTCCGATGGTGGCAGTGTTGTCATGGCAAATGGGCACGTGCGCGACCAATTCCTTGCGGCGGCTCGCTCAGATTTCTGGCTGTAGCAGCGGCCCGTCAGGCTATTCCAGATGGGCGGGATGCCTCTGATGCTGTGACTGTGGGACCAGTCGCTTGCAAGCGGGGCTAGGGGACCGGGCGATGGCAGTGAAGGCATCTTTGCGGTGGGTTGTGAAGGACGCGCGACGGCGTGATCCGCCCTCAAACGGGAATCTCATCCACCTCATCATCCCGGAGGAGTTATAATGAACTGTTTCCTTAGGCTTTCTTATTGAGAAGGGTTTGTTGTTAGCAGATCAAGACACTCCACACAGAGCTCACACAAAAGCGCAATTCCAGGGGTCGTTGTATGGCGGGCCACCACCCTGTCCAGACAGAGAGGCACAGACAGGAGCCAATCCTGGGCGGCCTGGGTCTTTCGACCGAGTCTATGATCCCTGGCCGCCTCCCGGTGGTGGTAAGGCAGGAGCCGAAAGCGAGGAAGATGATGGATGGCGCGGGAGAGTACGTGGGTGTTCCAGGGCGCAGGGAGGGGGTCACGAACGCTGCACCGACCCTTCACGTGTATAATAAAACCGACCCTTCACGAGCCGAAAGGCTGTGCCCGGCACGCGTTGGGCGTCGCTAGACTCCCTACCCGGCTTGGAGCCCGAACCCAGCCTCCTGTGGAGAATGAATCACCTCTTGCTGCTCCTCGTCGCGTCCAGCAGCTCCGCCCTCAAGGTGCTCGTCACCGGCGCCGGTGGCCGCACTGGCAAGCTCGTCTTCCAGCAGCTCAAGGAGAGCGCGTCCTTTGCTCCCGTTGGGTTGGTCCGGAGCAAGAAGGCCGTCAAGGCGCTGCGCAAGGTTGGCGGTGCGGACGACGCCGAGATTGTGCGGGCCGACGTAACTGACGGCGCCGCTCTCGCCGCTGCGATGGCTGGATGCGACAGCGTCGTGCTCTGCACCTCCGCCGTGCCGCAGATCCTGCCCTTTTCGATCGCCAAGGTGCTCTTCAAGAAGGTCGTCCTCCGCCGCGCCGAGCCGGGCCGGCCCAAGTTCAAGTTTGCTCCTGGCGGCACGCCCGAGGAGGTCGACTGGCTCGGAGCGAAGCTGCAGATCGACGCGGCCAAGGCGGCCGGCGTGAAGCGATTCGTGTTTGTGTCGAGCATGGGAGGGACGCAGCCCGACAACTTCCTCAACTCGATCGGCGAGCGTGCAGAGGACGGATCGGGAGCCTCCCGGCCGCGCGCATGAGTGTCCGCGGCGTGCGCCACTAGGCAAGAGCGACGAGGACGGCTCTGGCGGCGACATACTGCTCTGGAAGCGGAAGGCGGAGCGGTACCTCATCTCCTCGGGCCTCGAGTATACCATTATCCACCCCGGCGAACCCTCGCCTGCTTGCCTGGCTGCCTCTCTACCTGCCCGTGACAAAGTGGCGCGTCTGAGTACAGGTGGACTCGTCGACAAGCCGGCCGGCGCGCGCGAGCTCACCGTCGGCGTCGACGACGAGCTGCTCGGCCAAGCCTTCCGCCAGGCGCACGGCACACAACACCGAGGCCCCTCGCCTCACACCGAGCCCTTTGCAGGACACCAAACCCTCGCACCGCACCTCATTTGGCCGCGGCAGCCGCTGCCGGCGTCGTGCACCTCGGCTTCTCTCTGCTGTCCGTGGGCATCTTCCCACTCTCTCTCTCCACTCTCACCAACGCCTCCGCCTCACCGCGGCCAGCCGCGCCGAGAGCTGAGAGCAGAGGGCTCGAGCCCACACTCCGCCCCCTCCACCGCCGCCCCCTCTCGCCGCGGCAGGTGCCTCGCGCAGACGTGGCGCGCGTGTGCTGCGCCGCCCTCACCGAGCCCGCCGCCGCCGACCTGAGCCTCGACCTGGCCAGCCGCCCCGAGGGCGAAGGCGCCGTCACCGACTCGCCGGGCAGCCTCTTCGCCTCCCTCGGCGGCAAGTCGTGCGACTACTCGACGGTGCTGGACGACCCGCCCTCTATCTTTGCCACGGGGTGATGGCACGACTAGGGATACAGCGGTGTATGGGTATGCACTCCTCCTCAAGGGACAAGGTATCTCTGGCGTGTGGGGCCGTGGTCTTTTACGCTGCGCCGTCACCTCTGTGTGCGTGTTTCTCGGCTTTCGCGTCTCGCTGCTCCCGAGTCCCGTCTCTTCTTTCGTGGTGGGCGAGGGCAGAGCTCGGGCCGTACCTCTCGGGCAGGCACCAGGCTTACACTGTACGGCACAGCCGCCATTTATGTGTTTATGATTATGTGTATAGTGTGTTCCAGGGTAAGAAAAAGAAATCCAGATCGGGTCAGCCCCAGAGCACTCGCGCCGCGCTCTCGCCCCGCCAGCCATCATGCCCGCCTCGCGCTCCCGCGCCCACGCCGCGCTCCGCACACTCAGCCCAGCACTCAGCAGGCGGCAGCGAGGTCCCAAAGAACGTGCGCAACAACGCGCCAGAACCACATGGTCGGCCATGCTAAGGCGGCTAGCGTAGCGTAAGCCGTGACGCATCTGAATGAAACCTCCGCTATTCCCTCAACTGAGTCGCCCCCCGCGCGCGCTGCAGACTCCCGTCCACCTCGGCGCGATACGGCCGGTAGTACCGCGCCTCAAACGGCCCGGACCACCACTCGGCCATCACCGTTTCGTTGAGGAACCGGAAGATGTGAGGCACGAACGCCGGGATGACGAGGAAATCGCCCGCGCCATAATTGCGCGTCACGTCGACGCCTCCCTCTCTTGTCGTCACGCTGACTCGGCCCTTGAAGACGAAGTCCAGCTGGTCGGAACGGTGGACGTCTCCCGACCTCGCGACGCCGGCTCGGGTCTCGAGCACGTTGAAACGAAAGCTGCCGATCATGAGGTTGTGCACCGCGCCTCTCGCGTCCCGCACGACCGAAGGGATGCTCACCACGCCGTGCGCGGCCGGCGGAGAGTAGAGATGCCTGACGACATCCGGCTCGACTCTCCCAAGCTTGATCGGCGGCGGCAGCTTGTTTGCGGCCGACCACCGCCCGGCGAGGAAGGCGACGGGCAGCGCGAGCAGCAGCGGCGACGTCAGGAGGCTGGAGAGCTGCATGCGGCACTGTTTGTTCTAAAGCGAGCTCCGAGCCGGCAACACAGTGCGGGCGGACAGTCGAGCTGATCGTCTCCTGAGGGCGACGGCAACCACACTTTGAGTCGGGTTCGTTTCTTTCTTTCTTTTTTCGTTTCCTTTCTTTCCGGTTCTTTCTTTCTTCCAAGCCGCGGCGCGGCCAGCAGCCAGGGGCAGGGGAAGGGAGGGAGAACGTGGGAGAAAGAAATTTCGCTGCGCCCGACACAAAGTGCTGGCCACTCCTTGGGGCCTTTGCCGAGAGCCGCGCGGCGACGGCACCTCCACGTCCGTCCATCTGCATTGCTTCTGCCGTCGCCCTGTTGCCAACTGAATGGCGTCACCATCCTTAGAATCGCAAGCAAGCGGCGCTGAGCGCGTGTCTCGGCGGCGGCGAGGCAGCACGTGGGATGCGCTCCTTTATGCACACGACGCGCTTACGATTGCCTTCTCTGTGAGTGACATTGTGCTCGACATCCTCGTGACGATCAAATTTGCGCAGGATGGCCACGTCGGCTTCTTTATCGCCTCGTGCTGCATCTTTGCCGTCGCGCAGGCATCCTACGCACTCATCTTCACGTCATCGTTTGCGAGTCACCTGAGCGACGGGAAGCGGCTACTCGTCTTCCTGGCGGCGCTGCCGCTCGCCCAGCTGATCCCGCTCTTCTCGTGGGTCGAGTCGCTCCACTGGCCTTCCCTCGCCCTCGCGATGCGCGCCATCGGCCTGCAGCCGTCGGCGCAAGTCTGCCCGGCATCGGGCGACTCGCTGTGGCTGGTGTTTCGCGCAAAGTTCGCGGCTCACTCGGGCTTCCTCGCGGAGGCGGTGCTGGAGGCGGTGCCGCAGTGCGTGCTGCAGACGGCGCACATCATGTGGACCGGCGCGACCCGCCACCCGCCCGCCACACTCCCTTGGACACGTCCCTTGGACACGTCCCTTGGACACGCCCCTTGGACACGTCCCTTGGACGCGCGCTAGGCGACTACTCCCCGCTCGCCATCACCTCCATCTTCCTCTCAGTCATCGTCATCGTGACCAAGGGGTTCGTCCACGCACACCCTCACTCCTCACCTCACATACTCCTTGCCCGCACCTCGGCCGCACTCTCAGCCGCACTCTCGGCTACTCCTCGGCCGCACCTCCTCTGCACCTCGGCTAGCTCTTTCGGCTGCACCGCACCTCATCTCGGCCACCCCTCGGCCGCAGCCCTGCAGCAGCCCTGCCCGCTCCTTCCGAGCACCTTCCGAGCACCTTCCGAGCACCTTCCGAGCACCTTCCCGCAGATGGGTCGACTCTTTCTCCCCATATCTCCCTATATCTCCCCATATCTCCCGCAGGTGGGTCGACTCTTTCTCCCCATATCTCCCCATATCTCCCCATATCTCCCGCAGGTGGGTCGTCTCTTTCTCCCCATATCTCCCCATATCTCCCCAGATCTCCCCATATCTCCCGCAGGTGGGTCGTCTCCTTCTCCCCATATCTCCCCAGATCTCCCCAGATCTCCCCATATCTCCCGCAGGTGGGTCGTCTCCTTCTCCCTCCACCGCCCGACTCTCGCCCTCAACTCGCTCTGCGTGGCGGGGGACGTCTTCGGCCTCTTCGCCACCGTCTGCTGGATCTTCTCGCGCGACGCAGGCAGTCGAGATATGGGGGAGATATGGAGCAGATGTGGGGGAGATATGGGGAGATATGGATCTTCTCGCGCGACGCAGGCAGTCGAGATATGGGGGAGATATGGAGCAGATGTGGGGGAGATATGGGGAGATATGGATCTTCTCGCGCGACGCAGGCAGTCGAGATATGGGGGAGATATGGAGCAGATGTGGGGGAGATATGGGGAGATATGGATCTTCTCGCGCGACGCAGGCAGTCGAGATATGGGGGAGATATGGAGCAGATGTGGGGGAGATATGGGGAGATATGGATCTTCTCGCGCGACGCAGGCAGTCGAGATATGGGGGAGATATGGAGCAGATATGGGGGAGATATGGGGAGATATGGATCATCTCGCGCGACGCAGGCAGTCGAGATATGGGGGAGATATGGAGCAGATATGGGGGAGATATGGAGCAGATGTGGGGGAGATATGGGGAGATATGGATCTTCTCGCGCGACGCAGGCAGTCGAGATATGGGGGAGATATGGAGCAGATATGGGGGAGATATGGGGAGATATGGATCTTCTCGCGCGACGCAGGCAGTCGAGATATGGGGGAGATATGGAGCAGATATGGGGGAGATATGGGGAGATATGGATCTTCTCGCGCGACGCAGGCAGTCGAGATATGGGGGAGATATGGAGCAGATATGGGGGAGATATGGGGAGATGTGGATCTTCTCGCGCGACGCAGGCAGTCGAGATATGGGGGAGATATGGAGCAGATGTGGGGGAGATATGGGGAGATATGGATCTTCTCGCGCGACGCAGGCAGTCGAGGTATGGGGGAGATATGGAGCAGATGTGGGGGAGATATGGGGAGATATGGATCTTCTCGCGCGACGCAGGCAGTCGAGATATGGGGGAGATATGGAGCAGATGTGGGGGAGATATGGGGAGATATGGATCTTCTCGCGCGACGCAGGCAGTCGAGATATGGGGGAGATATGGAGCAGATGTGGGGGAGATATGGGGAGATATGGATCTTCTCGCGCGACGCAGGCAGTCGAGATATGGGGGAGATATGGAGCAGATATGGGGGAGATATGGGGAGATATGGATCTTCTCGCGCGACGCAGGCAGTCGAGATATGGGGGAGATATGGAGCAGATATGGGGGAGATATGGGGAGATATGGATCTTCTCGCGCGACGCAGGCAGTCGAGGTATGGGGGAGATATGGAGCAGATATGGGGGAGATATGGGGAGATATGGATCTTCTCGCGCGACGCAGGCAGTCGAGATATGGGGGAGATATGGAGCAGATATGGGGGAGATATGGGGAGATATGGATCTTCTCGCGCGACGCAGGCAGTCGAGATATGGGGGAGATATGGAGCAGATATGGGGGAGATATGGGGAGATATGGATCTTCTCGCGCGACGCAGGCAGCTCAAACCGCTCATTGAATGACCCACCCCGCCGCCCACTGCTCGCACCACAAGCAGCCCCTCTCGATGGCTCTGAAGCTGCTACCTTCAACCAAACGAATACCAGCGAGATGCAGCCTCGCTCGAACCAAGGCAACGAGTCCAGCCCGTTGACACGCACCGGTCTCCCGCGCGGCGCAGGCAACCTCGACGCCCGAGACGAGGCCGCCCTCGGCTTCCTCCTCACGCCACAAAATCAAAGATGTCGGTGTGAGGCAAAGGCAGCCCGCTCTCCGAGAGGTCTGGCTCACACCGTACACTCATATTGACACTCGAGCCGGTCCCGGAGCGGCTCTCGAGAAAGCGACGAAGGGAGCGCCTGCGCTCGATGGCTGAGGGCGATCGAGTTGGCGGTGCCGAGTGCGAGTCGACGCTTCGAGCAAGGAGGGAGGAGATGGAGAGGCAGTCCGAGTGAGAGTCCCCGTGGTACTCGCATTCGGTGCTCGATAGCATGGGCGCCGATGCTGATCTGACAAGTGTGCGGCTGCAGCGCGAGTCCCAGTTCACCTCCTCGATGTTGCCGAGATTGCCAACAAAGTCGGCGAGCGTCTGAACCATGCGCGACGGCGTCGAGCGTGAGTGTTTGCGTTAGCGGGGTGGGTCGAGGCCGGGCACGCGGGTGTAGAGGTTGTTCTGCGCCTCGTCGTCGTTGACGAGCGCCCGTGGCGGCGTAGCGCACGCGTCGAGTGCGGCGGGTAGCGAGAGCCGCTGGGCGAGTGCGGCAAGGCGCTCCCGCTCCGGCACGGAGTTGAGATGCCACTCGAGGAGCAGGTGGGTGGGGAGGCAGAGCGCGCCGGTGACGAGCAGATGCGGGATGAGACGGTACTCCGCGCCCTCCACATCCAGCTTGAGCAGCGCACACGACTTGCCCGCTAGCTTGTCCCACATCAACCGAGCGAGGTCAACTGAGCGAATTGTAATGGCCTTGGACCTCCCGAAGCGTCGGGCATTTTCCTTGGACAGGGGTGCCGTCTCGCTATTGCCAAACGCTAAATGGAACGTCAGGTTGGCCGCCCGCGTCCACGCGGCCACCGGCAAGTGAAGGCTCGAACCGATTCGTGATGGCTGCCAGGGCGTTGACAAAACGTGGTTGCGGCTCAAACATGAGCAGGCGCGTCCGCCTCCGCACGCTCGCGGCCATCGAGGTCATCAGCTTGGCACTCCACCGGCCGTCGTTCGCGCCCACGTCCAACACCACGCCGATGGCCGATGGATCCGCGCCGAGACAGCTCTCGAAGGCTGCGACCAAAGCGCCCCCAGCCGTTTTCACCGCTTCTTTGTCGATAGCCAGGCCCGTGGCGCCGTCGTGCCCACCGAACCGACGCGCAGGAATTGTGGATGTGAAAGCAGCGAGTCCCACGAAAAGCCTGAGCATGCTGGCCGCGTTGAGGTAGCGGATCGGGGAAAGCCTGAGCATGCTGGCCGCGTTGAGGTAGCGGATCGGGGAAAGCCTGAGCATGCTGGCCGCGTTGAGGTAGCGACCGGGGGGTCCAAATCCTCGCCGCCCGCCCAAAACTCGGTAATACCCCTGCGACGCGCCCGGCGCTGCGTCGATCGAGCGCACATGTTCACCTCCGCCAAGCTTACAAAGACGAAGCGGCGAAGAATCTTTAAGAAGAAGATCACCAAACCTCAAGTCAAGCTCGTGAGCGAGGCGAACATCAAGGTGAGAGCCGTCCGCTCTTGCCGCCACGTGCACGTCCGGTGCACACCTCAGCGGGCATGCCTCTGCGATAGGTGCGCACCAAGTGGGTCCTCTTCACCGCGGCCTTCATCGATCTGAGCGGCGCCGTCCTCCTCCAGGGCGGCGCGCCACTTATGTGTGCCAACGCTCCCGGCGCCACGCCGATGGGTGAGGTGCCTGGCGCGTTCCCTGCAACTGATTTTGAGGTGCCCTTCTTGAGCACGTCGCATCCGCCCGCGCTGGACTACGCAATGGCAATCAACCTCATGGTCGTGGCAAACATGTTTGGCGGCATCTTCTCCAACTACATTTCTGGCTGGGCGTCGGATAGATTTGGGCGCAAGGCGCGGAACCAGCTCTGCCCGTTCGGGCAGCACAACGGCACGCAAGAACCATGACAGATCCTGACACGCCCTCAGGTCGTGATCCTGCTCTGCCTGTTGGGTGGTGTCGTCTCGTACGTCCTCATGTTTGTCGCGGGCTTCTGGGTCCGAAACTACTGGTGCGCCGCTGGCCCGCGCACGAGTTGTTGATGGCATGCTGTCAACCCCTTGCGCACTCTTCACACCGGGGCTCTCACACACTGTGAGATGACGGGGCCGACAGTGGGGAGGAGTGGCATGCCGTCAACGCAGCCGCCGCCTGCACAGGATGTTCCTCAGCGCAAACTTTGTCAACGGCCTCTTCTCAGGCATTCGAGGGGTCATCTCGGCCTATCTACAGGTGCGAGAGAAGCTGCATCCTCTCGCCGAAGCGTCCTGACACGGTGCTCCCCTCCAGGACATCCACGACCCTCTCGAGTTCCGGAGCACAGTGATGCCTACCATGATGAACTTCTTCCTGTTTGGCGCCATGGGCGGATCGCTCATCGGTGAGTGGAGTCACACACAGAGGGCCACGCCCAACGCCCACGCCGCGCCGTGCCACAGCGGGCTCGCCTGCTGGGCGCAGCATGCCCCCTCACCCACTTTTGGGCCGAGCAGGCACGGTCTGGGTCGCCATAGCGAACTCTAGCCCGGTTACCAAGAACACCACCCTGGCTCTCTTTGGCCCCGCCTGGCTGGGCGTGCTCCTGTCCACCGGCTCCGCCATCATGGTCCAGCGCCTGTGCCCCGAGCCGCCTCGGAAGGAGGAGGCCAAGGGCGACGATGACGACAACAAGAAAGCGCCCGACATGACCAGGACGCAGCGACTGGTGATCACCATCATCCTTGTGGCCGGCTCCCTCGACGCGTTCGGCGACTACGGTGGAGCCCACAGCCTCGCCCCGCCGGCCCCGCGAGGGCCGGTCCTAGCCACAGACCGCGCTCTCGCCGCAGGGAACAAGTTTGCTCGCAACACCATCCTCACCAACCGATACCCGCTGGCGCGCGAGGCGGTCGTAAACTACGTGCTGATGGGGTCCAACATCTTCTCGATCTATGTCGGCAAGGTGATCCTGACGCGCACGATAAGCAGGCACGACGCGTTGGGTACTGGCTGCAAGCGCGCGACCTGCGCCTCGTCACACCTCCGGCTGCGAGTAGGATCGGGTTCATGGAGGCAACCGGGCTGTGGTGCATCGTCGGCAACCTTGTCAAGGTTGGCGTCCAGTTGGGGCTATTGACCATCGTCGATTTCGACGAGTCGCTGACTGCGATGGGCTGGTACGTCTTTATCTGGATCTTATCACAGGTCTTTGGCATCTGCTCGACGCTCGCGTCCATGTTCCTCTACCCTGGCTTCCTGCCGACGCACCGACTTGGCGAGCTCAACGGCCTGAAGAACTCACTCCTGAGCACAGTCAACTGCATCACGCCCATCTTGCTCTCCAGCGTCTACCAGGTGATCACCACTTTTCCCTCATGCGTGCGACCGGTCGCGTCGATCTGAATCTCCCGTGATCGCTCGCCCCGTCCTTACTTCGCCCCCCTCAGACGGGCTCGCTCCAGACGGGGCTCGATGACGCCGACCGCCGGTCCGCCGTCGACCACGCCAGCGTCCTCTGCCTCGCGATCTGCGGCACCGTCTCGTTTCTCGCATTCCTCGGCTACTTGCCCCTCCGGCAGATCCTGCCCAAAACACCCAAGCCCCCCGCCGCTGAGTCGCCTGCCGTAGCCGCCACCAAGGGGGTCGTTCCAGAGGAGGAGGCAGTGCCGCCGTCGGCGCCGCCGCTCTCGTACTACGACACGATCACGTGGCAGGAGTGGTCGTCGCTGCCGATGCGTCGCCGGTTCGAGGTGCAGCGCGCGCGTGCGCGGGCGGGGATGGAGCGGGTGCGGCTGCATTGGGGCACGTGGCACGACGACTGCACTGCCGCCAACGACATCCTCAGCAAGGCCCCGAAGGAGCTGGGTCCGCTGAGGGCGACCCCGCTCGATGCTTCCCTTAAAACTCGGCCACATCTCGCACTGCGCTTCGATAGGAGAACTGCGCGAGCTGTACACAGAGTGGGTGACGAGCGACGAGAAGCTCGAGGAGATCGCCGGCCTCATGGCGACGCGGAGGGAGCTCGAGGCCAAGCGGGATAAGACGGATCGGACCGCGCAGCGGCAAAAGGAGCGTGCGGCCATGGGGCAGTGGATTGCAGACTACCTTGACGACGCTGGTGGGCGTCGCCCGGGGCGGGGGCAGCTCCCTCGTGGGTGCGACCGACGCCGACTCTCGTGAGTAGGCTACGACTGGGAGGTGGTGCCGGAGCTGTACAAGGCGATGATCATGAACTCCTTCCCGCCCCTCGACACGCTCGACGAGAAGCAGGCGTGCCTGTCCGACATCGCCGAGCTGCGCACGTTCATGGTCGCCTTCCTCAAGGTGTTGGACATGCACATCAAGTCTGCCGAGACCACCTCCGTCCACTTTGTCTCCCCTCTGCCCACCCCTGAGGAGCAAGATTTGCGCCGCATGAGCTCAATGTACTGAGCTGCCGGTGCTGAGCTGCCGGTCTGCATGACGCTGGTTGTGAGAGCGTTGAGCGTGTTGCTGTTGCTCTTTGGGTACGTGTGTTTTTTCACAGAGAGAGAGAGTTGGTAATCAGGCTGACGCCCATGTATGGCCGATGTGGCGATAGGACTGCGCGTCGATGCGGAATTCGCCCCTCGAGACCTCTAATTCCCTTCTTTCTACCTCGCGCCCCGCAGATCCTCTCGCCACCAGCGCGGCGCGGGCAGATCGGTCCGGCAAATCGAGAGGTGGTTTGTGCCTGTGGAGTCGCGGTACCGCCGCAGATGCCTGCACGCAGCCAGCGGCTGGGAGGCATTCTGGTCTCCGCTGCCCGTTCGCGCCACCGGCCGCACAAGCTCAGATGAGTACTCCACCTAGCCCGGAGGATGGGCGGTGTGTCCATGTCGCATGTGGAGAAGGCGATGTGCTCTCGTCTCGTTCGCACCACGAAGTCGCTCTCGCCCGCCATGCTTGCGAGCGCCTTGGTGGTGAGCTGCGCTCGAAGCTGCGCCGCCCCGCCGGAGCTCCTCAGCAGCAGCAGCCATTCGGTGCTTCGCTCGCCGCTCGCCGCGAGCATCTGTTGCACCAGCAGCTCGCTCGCGGCCACCCCCGCCTGGAGGGAACGAAACATCGGATCGGCCCCCGCAGGTTGCCCGCGATTGTCTTGGGACCGCGTCGCGCGAGCCTTGGGATCTGCGTCGGCCGAGTCGCTCGGCTGACAGCGGCCGACCATACTGGTGCCGCTCGCCGCAATCGCCTCCCTCACCCTACCAAGCTTCGCCTCCAATGTCGCCGCGTGGATTGCGTGGAAGGCAAAAGTCATGTTACTCGCGGAGTTGCGCGTGAAACCGCCCACCTCGCTCCCTGTTAGTCGCGACCACCGCAGCTTTCGCCCCTCGGTGTTGTTGAGACCAAAGAGAAGGAGCCTGAAGCGGCCAGGGCTAGCATGGCTACTAGCCTGAGACGTGGGGCAGCGAGGTCAGTCGGAAGCACCTGCGCAGCGCGATCTGGTCGTCAGGGACAACATCGTTCGCGCGGATCCATTCCTGGAGGAGCCAGCGAGTGCGCTCGTTGTTGCGCGGGATCACGTAGAATCCTGCATTCACCTATGGTGCCCGTGGGGGGGAGCGGGCGGTGAGGGCACTTGTGAAGCGGCCCAGAAGTCGATCTCCCGGAGGTGTCCACCGGCATCTCGCGCATGAACAGGATGTCGCTGCTCAGATGATACACCTGCGGCGGCTGCAAGAGACTGCTTGTCGGACAGCATACCAGGACGCCCAGTTCCATACCAACTGTTGGTGAATTTTGGAGAGTTGTCGGGGGCGCAAGCCTTGTCGAGCAGAGCTGAGTATGGCCGCAGCGGAATCACATCGAGGTCGCTGAACAGGACGGCCTCGGCGTCGGCGCTCGGCCGACCAAGCACGCTGCTCACCCAGGCCAGCCGCGCCTTCCACAACGCACCCCTGTCGGGGCTGGCCACCTTTGAGGCGTTGTGGGCGTGAAGCCGCAGCCGCACGGCGTAGGAGGTGGTTGTGTCGCGCGTGGCCATTGCAGAGAGCCACTGGAGCCAGCAGGCGAGTGCGGCGGCCGACTCTTTAGTCGCGAACCCGAGGAGCTGGACTACCATACACATTTCGGTCCGGAGGGACGCGCGAGTTTCGCGGGGGGCCAGCCCGAGTTTGAAATTGAATTCCTTCCCAAAAGAATTTACAACCTCAGAAGTTAACGATCACAGGAAGAATATCAATCAATCAAAAGAATGGTACCCCGTACTGGCTGGCGCCATCGGAACAAACTACGGGGTGTGGAGGGTGAGTTGACCAAGGGGTTGTGCGCCGGGCCCTCCTGCCTGCCGAGGGCAGCTTTCAGGAGCCGTCTGCTCCCCAAGCAAGTAGCAGAGCTGCACCGCGCGCTCACCACATCCACGAAAACCAGCCCTTCTCCTCCTCCTCCTCCTCGACGCTCACCTTGACGTCCATGGCACCGTCCCGTGCCACGCCGCCCGTCGCAATCGTCGCCGGGATCTGCGACGCGGCCGCGCTGCTCCCCGCGCCGGCGCTCCCTCCGTCGCTCCCTCCGGCGCTCCCTCCGGCGCTCCCTCCGGCGCTCCCTCCGGCGCTCCCTCCGGCGCTCACGGGAGGCGACGTGTTCGACGTGGCGCGCTGCTTGCCACGCGCCTTGGCCGACAGGACCGGCTGCGCGTTGGCGGCCGTCGGTGCGCCGCTCACGCCGGCAGCTGCCCCGGGGGTTGCTAGCTCCTCTAGCATGGCTACATGCAACACGTGGTTCTCGGCGGCGCCTGCGCCCTCGCTCTGCCGGCGACTCTGGTCCGCATCCGAGCCCTCGCTCTGCCGGCGACTCTGGTCCGCATCCGAGCCCTCGCTCTGCTTGCCACTCCGGCGAGCGCTCCTCGGCGACTCTGCGTGGAACTCTGCGAGCCATCGGCGAAGATGGCGACTCACAGAGGCCTCGCTGCGAGCGCTCTCGCTGCGAGCGCTCTCGCCGCTGCGAGCGCTCTCGCGGCTGCGAGCGCTTCGCCGCGACCACGTGTTGTTCCATTTGTTCCAACTGTAACCACTCTGCCAGCTTAGGCGACTCTGGTCCGGATCCGAGCGCTCGCTCTGCCGGCCACTATCCCGATCGCTCTGGCCATATCTGTTCCAGCTCTGCCGGCCACTATCCCGCTCGCTCTGGCCATATCTGTTCCAGCTTCGGCGACTCTGGCTATCCCGGGATTCGCCTTGCTGGAGCGGGCGCCGCCGAACGAGCCGTGCCACCGACATGAAGTGGAGGAGCTGCTTCTGCTTCCGCCAGAGCAGTCCCGCATCGCACGGCGCGGCTCCCATCCGGCGCAGCACGTGGCGCAGGCTCACCTTCCGGTGCTCGGGCGAGCCGTAGAGGGGTATGGCGAGCGCGTTGTAGAGGCTGTAGGGAGGCTGCAGCAGCACTTGCGGCGTCTGCCCTTGAAAGAAAGTGGAGAAGGGGCAGCCTCCGAGGGTGGGCGTCTGCTCGTGCACCATCGCGATCGTGATTTTCCGGTCCATTGCCGCCTGCACCAGCCGCGCGACGGTGCCGTCTTGGTCGTACCACAGGCGGTCCGTCATGTAGAGCAGGAGCACGTGACGAGAATCGTCGACGAGATTCTCGAGCGCGTCGTCCGCCTCGCGGATGGCCACGACGCCGTCCTTGGCTACCTTTGGCGCCAGCGCGCGCCCCGTCTTGGCCGCCTCCTGGACCTCCTCCGCCACGGACCAGGCGCCGTCGTTGTCGCGGCACACGAGGATGGTGACGGGGCCGACAAAGGCGTACGGAGGAACCTCCCCCGGCACCATCGCGCCCGCGGTGAGGATATTGGGGCTTCTCATGTAGTACGGGGAGTGTCTCAGCATGCGCAGCGCGATGGACTTGAGCGACTCGAGCTGGAAGGCGTTCACCCGCACCCACAGGATCGGGTCCTCCTTTTCAAAGATACGGAACACCATCTCGGCCGGCCCTAAGTAGGAGGGGTAAGTGCCCAATCCGGCGTCGTCGACGCAGTGCGCGCGGCACTCGGCCTTGAGCACCTCGAGCGCTGCGCCGCCCTTCTCGACATCGGCCTCGTGAATCGGGATGAAGGGCCGGTCCAAGGCGAGGCCCGCGTAGAGCTCGCGGCGGCAGTTGCGGCTTTTGAAGTAGCCCACTGACAGAAAGACGAGGAAGGTGGTGGCGTCGGCGACCGACTCCTCGAGGGCTCCGAGGTTCTTCAGGCAATCCACATCCAGCCAGATCCTCGCCTCGGGCAGCAGCAGCTTCATCTGCCGAACGATGGTGTGCGTCTGGTCTTGCCCCGTGGACCAGATGTGGCTGATGAAGCCGTGGAAGTGGCACTTCTTGGACAGGTCCATCACCGGGGGGCGTCTGTTCGAGAGAAGCCGGATGGTGGGCGCGCGGATGGCGCTGATGGACTTTAAGACGACGAGGACAAGCGACACGGCGAGCGTCGTTACGGTGAGCACGATGACAAACGAGCTCGCGCCGCGCGCGCTCGGGAAGCCCACGAGCGTGTCGCACATGTCCTCGTAAGCGGCGCTCTCGCAGATCTGATCAAGCTGCTGGTGTGGCTAACCCGTGA